GTGTGTGTGTGTATGTGTGTGTGTGCGTGTGTGCGTATATATATATATATATATCCTGTTTATATACGATTACATGTATTGTATTGCTACACACAGAGAAAACTATTCAATCGCACATGCATACACATAATAACAATTAGACGTTCACAGATCTATCTAATCTAATACATAAGAAACACGATGTCAGAACATATGGATACATGCAGCTCTAAACGTCTTGCTTACCATTCTATCTTCCCTATTATACTTCCCCTGTGCTACATTGATCTCTTCTAGAGTACTCCAGTATTCCTCTTTCCTGTACAGCATGAAGTAAGCGATTGTCTCTGTGAACACTGACAGCATCACTGCCATCACCAGAGGTACTAAACACCGTTGACCCAGATCTAGTTCTAGTACTATAGGCTGTAGTGGCGCCAGTAGCAGGTCAAGACCCCACGTCATTGTATTCTATTGGAATGAAGTGGTTGTATGTGTAGTTTACGCCGTTACAGTATGTGCCTCGTTATGGCACCTCGCACACTACTTACTCTAGACTAGTATTGTTTATGCATTTCTCAACTATGTATTTACTATGGAGTGAGACCAAAGAACATATAACAGAGAGACCATTTGTTTTTATTTTTTTGTATACACAAAGACACACATTTCAATTCTTATGATTCGTTTAATTTCGATGACGTTTTTTTGACACGATTCATTCTCGCGTCGATAGACAGATATAAAAGTATAAAGGCTACGTATAATAAACTACTTTCATCCAAACCTATTTAGTAGTAGCGTATGCACCATAGTTATAATAGCGTCTGCACATACATAACCTTCAGTACATACTGTAGAAGCACATTAATAACCGGTGACTATGGCAAATAGTGAGATAAAAGTGTGCTTCACATCACTCGATGGAAAAACGAAGCACCTCTCCGTGCACAAACAAGCACGCATGCACACCATTGACCAGCGATTAGGGGGTGGTAATATGTACTACTACTATGGCAGACTCGTTAAAATTATTGGAAACAGCTTAGAAGCCATGGGAGTACAGGAAAATGGTTAGTGGAAATTTAATGTATATCGCTACATACATCTACATATATTTGACCTCAGAAGTATACATTCTGAATTTATATGTACATCTACATACATATAGAT